ATGGAGACGGGGGGGAGTGGATAACCCCGTTCCAGCCGAACCGGTTGGAACGGGATTAGCAACCCACCCCTGACTCAATGGCACCTAACCAACTTATATTTTTCTATTTAGATTTTAAATTCAAAAAGCTGTTTAAGTCTCCAAGAAAATTAAGAAGTCAACCAAAATTTTCATACAAATAAAACAAGGAATGACAATTAGAAGAGTTGTGGCACCATTTACTTAGAACTAAGTTGTACTCAGCTCAGAGGGACTTTGTACTTCATAGCAATATTCACAATGCTCACAATATTGATGAGGATTTTTAATATCATGTTCTGTTAATCAAACAATAGTGGCTCCATATTACTAAACAAAAAAAAAATCAGCAATGAGATCTATATTTGCAAGGTTGTCTATGGGGTTCTCATGGTACCCTCCCCCACATTAAGTTAAAATAAAATAATAAGGCTACACACACTTTGAAAATAAATTGAAATTACTTTGGACTTCATACATGCCCTGTGCCTCACTAAAACAAGCTCCCACACGAACACTTTCTGCATTGAACAGTGAACAACCAGCAGGCAAAAGATCTATTTATTTGGGTCAACTGGCCTTGTATGTGATATCAGTGCCTATTCTGCTTAAGCACAGAGCAATCCGACTCTGCAAGTGAACAGGTTACTAGGGGATTTTAAAGACCCCATAATTCAGGGATGTGACAGATACAGCTGCAGCTCCACACGGGTTTGCTTCATTTGCTTGAGAGACATTTGATGCTGGTAAGGGAGCATTGGTGGGAATGCTGGCAGCGCCCTGTTGACATGGGTGACAGTTTGCTCCCATGTGATCTTGGCATGTTGCAGAAGGAGAGTCAACAGAGATTACTTGTAGGATGAACGTTTCAGGATTTTGAGCAGAAACCTTTCTACTTCCTCGACACTGTTCATTTTGTATCAGTTGCACTGCCCCTTGTTTGGTCGTGTCAGTCAGTTTTTTCCCTCGCTGCTCAGCTTCACGTCTCATAACTTCTTCTATAAAGAGAGAAAGTAACATCTTGAAATAATTACTATTCTCGGGCGAGCAATAATTGTAAAAGCACATAGAATGAGTTGTGATTTTCATTGCAGATGCAATTTTGATTTTAAAAAACTATGATTCCCAAGTCTATGAAAATGATATATAGATGGCCACATGACACAGTCTCATTGGGTATTTTTTCCCCATGCATTTTTAGTTTCACATTTTCCCTCAGTTTGTATCAGGCAGTGGTGGCAACTCCTCTTTAACACAATAGCAGAGTTGGAAGGGACCTTGGAGGTCTTCTAGTCCAACCCCCTGCCTAGGCAAGAAACCCTGTACCGTTTCAGACAAGTGGCTATCCAACATCTTCTTAAAGACTTCCAGTGTTGGGGCATTCACAACTTCTAGAGGCAAGCAGTTCCACTGATTAATTGTTCTAACTGTCAGGAAATTTCTCCTCAGTTCTAAGTTGCTTCTCTCCTTGATTAGTTTCCACCCATTGCTTCTTGTTCTATCCTCAGGTGCCTTGGAGAATAGTTGGACTCCCTCTTCTTTGTGGCAACCCCTGAGATATTGGAACACTGCTATCATGTCTCCCCTAGTCTTTCTTTTCATTAAACTAGATATACCCAGTTCCTGCAACTGTTCTTCATATGTTTTAGTCTCCAGTCCCCTAATCATCTTTGTTGCTTACATTTGTATGTGGTTCCTTCTCCTTTTTTCACTGGTGGACCAGTGAAAGTCTAGGTTTTTCTTCTGTTTTATGAAATGGTGTGTGTGTGTTTTAAAGAGATGAAACTGCCAAAATTTCTACCAGTTTTTTTTAAAAAATAGTGGAATCTACCAACGCAACTCAGAGATTAATTAATAACTGCCATCTAGACAGAGGCCTTGGCTACTTCATTGCTAAGTGAAAAAACAAATTGAAATCTGCATATTTAAAAAAAAACTTTTCTTGATTTCTAGCTGGTTTCAGTAAGGACACAAACCGTTTAAAACTGCCATGCGAAATAGGCTATAATCCCCCAAAACTGGATTTAACTGGGGGAGACATCTACCTTCCCAATCAATAGTATTTTAGTATTCTGAAATACCACTTAGTGTCTGTACTCAGTCTAAGAACTCTAAAGTGACCTATTAGTAGAAATGCTTCCTTTTTCATGACTTGCTCATTGGTTCTACTTCTAGCTGTTTGCATTTTTACATTTGTCCATTTCAAAGGCAAAAGTAACAAAACTGATGCCTTACAGCACGGGTGTTAAACTCACGACGTCACATTGTCGTCACGTGACTTATCAAGACTTTTCCCCTTCGAACTGGAAGGTGGGCTTGGCCAGTGTATGACACAAGTTTACAGTAACTTTTTCAGTGCTTTACCATTTGGAAAACAAATCCTAAAATAATTAGATAATAGTGGTTTTCTCACTACTTCTCATTTTTGCAGTTGAAATCTGATTTGTCCTACTTAAATTTTTCTAAAGTTTATACACAGAGTATATATTTATTGTGATATTTCCTGATTTCTGCTTTTTGAATGTTCTTTTTTTCTTGCTAATATATTTCACAAACAATCATCCCAGTTTCCCCAGTATTATTCATGAAGCAGCAGATTACCATTCCACAAGGAAAAAATTTCAAGGTCACTTTTGGTTAAGTTTGTCCGTAAAATTCCAAGATTAGGCAGTTGCTGGAAATCCTTTGGAGTAATATCATCAGGTGGTTTAGTAGTTTTGGGGGGTTCTGGATCATTTGGTATAAATTCCTCAATGATGACATCATCACTTTCATCAGGACGCAGAACTTTTGTTTTGGGAACCATGTTTCTCATCTCTTGCATGCTTTCACCTACATTCCGACTTCTTGCTTTTCTCCAAGAACTTTCACTATCTACTAATTCCTCTAGAAAATAATGCATAAAAAGGAATATTAAATTAAATCATTTTGTGTAAGAAAAGTAATGCTGTCTCTTGTGTTAGAAAAAAATGAAGGTCAATTTTTTATTTTTAAAAAAATCGTAAACTTATATTTATAAAGTGTATTAGGACAATTTTACAAAGGAATTTTAAAGCAAAATGTACTAATGTGTTAGCAATATGCAGACAGGTAGATGTGAGTTATAACAACTATTATACTGATCAAGATGAAAATGTACATGTATATCCATAGATGATTTATGCTTAAAAGCTACATTTTGTTAGAATTTAGAAAGCTATAATGAGAATAAGCCACTTCTTTTTCTTATAATGATCCCCATTAACGAAACACTACCTAAACACATTATCTCCATTAGCTGACCTAATCAAGACCAATGTTCCCCCTGAGAGAGAGAGAGAGAGAGAGAGAGAGAGAGGGAGGGAGGGAGGGAGGGAGAGAGAGGGAGAGGGAGAGGGAGAGAGAGAGAGATGGGAAAGTTGCCTCTTGGAAGGAATGACCCAGCTTGGCTCCCGCTTTCGATCTGCCACCCAACGACCGAACGGAGAAGCGAAGAGGCAGGAGAGACGAGGCAGGAGAGACGAAGCGGGAGCCAAGCTGTGTCATTCCTTCCAAGAGGCAACTTTCCCATCGAATGATTCGCTGCCCTAGACTTGAGGAGACCCTCTGCAGTCCCTCTCATCTAGCTGGGAGTCCAGTGAGAGTGTTGGGCTGAAGGAAGGAGGGATACTCTCTCTCTCTCTCTCTCTCTCTCTCTCTCTCTCTCTCTCTCTCTCTCTCTCTCTC